TAATTTTTTGCATTTTATAGTATAATGTATGCTGTGTAGTATAAGTTTGCTGATAACTAGTTCTAAATTTATCATATCAATAACCAATGTATTTATTTTTTCAGATGTGCGACACTATTAACTGCATTACTAAAAGTTCAGTACCTTGGCCATCAGATTGGTCTTATGATCAATGGGTTGAAAAAAAGAATAAATACCCTTGGCTTATATGCAGTGATGGAAAAATTGGTTGTGAATATTGTAAGTCAGTAGATACATTAAAAACATTTAAAAGTAAAGGTGTTGAAATATCAAATGAATGGTGCTTAACAAAGATTGATGGTGGTTTAAATACAATTAAATCAACCAGATTGACTAATTTACGGCACAAAATTTTAAAACATAAAAAGTCTAAAGCACATATAGAAACTGAAAAAATTTCGCAACAAAAATCTTCTAATTTATTAAGTAAAGCTTTTCAAACTGGCCAATCTAATTTCTATGAAACAACACAAAAAATTTTTCGAACAGCTTACTATATTGCCAAGTATAATAGACCTTATGATGACCACTCAAAATTAATTGAATTACAGCATCTCAATGGACTTAACCTTGGTACTACATTGCATTCTAGGTACTCTAGTACAAAGATTATTTCACATATTGCAGATAAAATGAAAACTAAAATAGTTCAAAATATTATGGCAACTGCATCTAAAATATCTATTCTTATAGATGAATCCACTACTGTAAGTTCTTTATCAGGTATGGTGGTTTATGTTAAAGCATCAATATTAAGCTCAGAACCTATTTTTATATTTTTGGATTTGGTAGAATTAAAAAGTCAAACCGCTTCTAGTATTGTCAGTCAATTAGTAGAATGTCTTTATGCTTCTGGATTCACAGAAAATTTTTTGGTAGAACATTGGGTATCGTTTGTAACGGACGGAGCTAGTGTTCTCCTTGGAAAAAGAAATGGAGTGGCTGTGCGCTTGAAAGAAAAGTATCCCTTAATTTTTAGTTAGCATTGTCTTAATCATCGATTAGAGTTAGCAGTTGGTGATACATTAAAGGACATAACTGCTACCAACCATTTTAAGCATTTTTTAGATTCTTTATATTCCTTATACAGCAGATCTCCAAAAAACCAAATTGAATTAAAAGAACACTGTACAAGTTTAAATGAAATTTTTTTAAAAATTGGAAAAGTTCTTGACGTTCGCTGGGTAGCAAGTAGTTTTAGAACAATTAGTGTAATTTGGAAAATATATCCAGCATTATATAATCATCTTATTCAAGCTTCTCAAGATAAATTTCGTGATGGTAAAATTAAGTCTAAATACAGTGGGCTTAGTAAGCGTTTGGGAAGTATACAATTCTTGTTAGATTTAGCCTTAATGTGTGATGTTTTGAGATATCACAACTATCACTTGACTTACAAAAACAAGATATGTCTCTATTGCAGGCTGATGTACTAATAAGAAGAACAATACGAGTTATTGAGTCATTGAAAACTATGAATGGTAATTATTTTTCAGAAGCTGTTAAAGCAAAAGAAAAAATGATATTTAAAACTGTTGTTTTATCTAACAACGAAAAGATAACTTGTATAAATAAGAACCAGTTTATAACAAGTGTAGTAAATAATTTAAATATGAGACTTATACCAAATGAAGGTGAAGAAAAAATAATACTTGAAGACTTTCAAATATTTGATAAAAWATTATGGYCTWCTGAAGTTGAGATACGCTTTGGTGAAAAAGAAATACAACGTATTTGTGACAGATTTTGTATTAATAAAGTAAAGACATTAAAAGGAATGCGAATCTATATTGATGACAATGATAATAATGATATAACTTTAATTGAAGAACTCAATGACATAAATATTTTAATCAAGACATTACCATGCTCAACAGCTGAGTGCGAACGTGGATTTAGTGTTATGAACAATATATGTACAGATCTTCGTTCAAGATTGTTAATAAACAACATTTCT